AAAAAAAAAAAAAAAAACAAAGGTCATTATCCACGCCTTTAGGCATATAGGGCATTTAGGGCTAAAGCATTATTTTTACAGACCAATCGGCAAAAGATGGGTGGTGTGTTCAGCATCACGTAATTTAACGATAAATACTGTACAGAAAATATTGTTCAATTAATTGCACATTTTATCTTTGTATAATGATAAGAGTTATAAGGAAAAAAAAAAGGTTGGAAAGTTTTTTCGCACTTATTGCACATACTATCAGTTTAGAATGGCAAGTTAGATTCATGCAAAATATCTGGTAGAAAGGTGTGTCACACGAATTGCACATTCTATCAATTTACAATAATTTAGATTTATTTAGAATGTATGTTAGAAAGTTTAGTTTTGTTCCATTCATGCACTGGCTATATTTGTATCTTTATCCAGTGCTTACAATACTAAAAGTAGCAACAAGAAATATTCCAAATAAAAACATGCCTACCCATCTTCTTGAGGGAGGAAATAAAACTTTAACTAACTACAATAAAAGAAACGTAAACAAGAACCCTGTTGCATGGTGGACGCAAGAATGCACTGAGGCGACAGATAAACGTAAAAGGGCTCTGCAGGACTATAGAAAATTCGGGTCAACAGAAAGATGGCAAGAATATGTTAAACACAGAAATGCAACTACCAAAGTCATTCGCAAAGCTAAGGAGGCGCACTGGAGGACATTTTGCCAAAAATTGAACCCTGATACTCCAGCAACTGAAGTGTGGAATCAGATTAAAGTCATTAAAGGAGACAAAATAAAAGAAAGGATCCCTACAATTCAGGTACCCACAGTGGCAATTACTGATAAAGATAAGGCAGATATCTTCGGACAGCACTTCTATGAGGTCTGTTCCAATAATAAACTAAATCAACAAGAACGGAAAAACAGAACGGCTCTTAATAAAGAGATTACGACAACTAAAATCACAATTAAGGAAGAAAATTCATACCTAGATGCAGATATAACTACTGAAGAAGTTAACTCAGCAATACAAGCCAAATCTAACACGGCAGCTGGGGCCGATATTCTAAACTATACTATAATGAAAATGCTACCAGCAAAAACCATTA